TGGAATGGCTTATCTCCTTTTTATTTTTATTGTTCTCACTGCTCTTGTTGCTGTTGCTGTCACTGTTATTATGTGTTGTCATGAATACTAAATGATTGTATTTTACTGGTTTCCATTATTAAAGTGTTCTGAGCTGGATTTTTGTCTCTGGTCTCTTCCCCATCGCATTGGGGTGAGGGAGCTGCTGCTGGGGCCCAGCTGGGTCTGCCCCTGGCCCGGGGCACTTCTGGGGGTGCAAATAGAGGGACTGGGGCAGTTTTGGGGCTCACAGAGAGACACCCAGTGCTGCGATTTGGGGGCTCAAAACTGGGCTCATTTGGCCAGATACAGAAAGAGACACTAAGGACTGGTTTGGGGGCCTTGAAACCAAGGTACCTCTGACAGCATTTGGGATCTCGGAGAGAACAAGTTCTGCATTTTAGAGGCGTGGAGCAGAGGCCATGGCCTGTGTGTGGGAGGTCCTGAAACCGGGGTCACTCAGCGTTTGGGCTTCCACCGGTTCATCCACCAAGAGAGATTGAAGTGCTGCATTTTGGGGGGCTTAGGGAAAGGCCAAAGGCCGCGTTTTGGTGCTCCGGGCGGCTCTTTCGGCCAGGGCCAGTCCGTGTCTCCGNTCCAGGTAGGAGATGCTGCCTTCCAAGGAGAGGGGCTTGTCTGTCCCACTGGAATTTGGGGTGTGAGGCCAATGGAACAAAGGGGTTGATTCCATTTTCTCACTCAGGTTCTCATGTGCTTTAGGAGGTATTTGTGGAAAGATCATTTTAGTGAGTTTGTGTTGGGAATTTAGCAGCTAGAGAATGGAAAATTACAAAGCTGTGGCTAATTCTAAGTCCTGCACCTGCATAGATAGCAGTGTCCTTGGGCCTAGCTGTAGTAGGATAACAAACAGTGAAAGAGACATGAGAAAAGAGAGATGTAACCCCTGAGGAATGAGTTGATGGTATAGTTTAACCAATAGATTGCTTAGCTTACAGAATATTCATAAGCTTATTACTCGCTGTATAAGTGTCTGATGCTCTCTTCAATAAATGGAATTTGCTTATCACTCATATTGAGTGCCTGAGTCTCCCCTCACCGACAAATGGTCATCCCCGACAAAGGCCTTGTTTCTGCGACAAGTTTGCACTGGGTTTGAAGGAATGTGGCCCCTGGGGCAGAAATCCCTGCACAGATTCTGTGTCCTCCCGTGGCTCATCTGAACAGTCCACGGGCTGGGCCTCCTTGTTTCCTTCTTCTCCAGGCTCTGGATGAAATCCTTCCTTTCCCAAGGGAGGGGAGAGCCAGCAGGATGTGAACCAGAGGTGCTGCTTTAGGAAAGCCCCTCCAGCCTGGGCAGGAGCTCCTGGCTCCAGACACGTTCCCAGTGCCCAGGAGCAGCAGGACCTGTGCTGTTCCCAGCAGGTGAGGCAGAGGTGCCTTTCCTTCCTTCCCTGCTGCACTTTGGCTTTTTGAGGGGGTCTCTGGGGGTCTGAGGGAGAAGTTCTTTGTCACTCCAGGGCAGAATTAGCCCTGGTCCCACTGAAAGCAGGAGAAATCATTTTATCCTTGTTTTTGGATACACATCTTGTGTTTTCTCTCTGTTGCTGACACCGTGTGGTAAAGCAGCAGCTCCCAAATTTTCAGCACTGCTCCCAGTTTTGTTCATAGCTGGTAAACAAGAAACAGTAATTTGCTGCCCTGTGGTAATTGGATTAAGGACCAGGCTTCCCTATTTGTTTAATATTCCAGAGAAAAGCTGCCAAGGAAGAAAGGAAGAGCTTTCCTTGGTGAAAACCTTCCCAGTCCCACGCTGGGTTTGCACACACAGGAGGCTCCATCCCTGCTGGAATCCAGTCACAGCCCCCAGATCAATGTGCACTTTAAGGTCTCACAGCCCGACCAGGACAATCTCCTGCCTCTGGACATGGAAAATCAGTTTTTCATTGTTACAGCACCAGCTCCAGGTAATTTTGAAGTGGTGTAATGGTTTTTAAGTTGTGCACATGGAGGAAATTCACTGGGGCAGCCAACACTGCTCTGCCTTCATGGGCAACCCTGTGGGTCTGGGATCTTGATTTGTGGCTGTGAAATCTCCTCACAGAATCCTCTGAGGCTAAAACAAAGACAGGGAACCTTCTGAGATAGAACGAGCCAGAGCAAGTTGTTGTGGGAAAGGAAGATTAAAGATGGTAAGTGGTAAAACCTTTGTTCATCCTGACCTCTGTACTTGGCCTCTGTACCTGGGAATGGGTCAGCTCTGGAAATTTCCTGGAGACACTGGAGAATGATCCCTGGTCTGCTGAAAAGTGGGAAAACCCCACTGGCAATTGCAGCCCCTGAGGGAGGGCAAAAGGAGCAGGACCTCAGTCTGTGAGTGTGTGAGAAATAAGGGAGGGACAAATCTATGGATCATCCTGTGCCTCAGGGCACAAGGAAAAGCCCCTCACCTAAAAACTGAAGTGCTGTTCCACAGGGAGCCTGGGCATTGAGCTCATCCCAGCTTTCCTTCCAGAGCTGGAAGAACACCCCACAATGTTGTTTGAGACATTCCTGACTGGAACTGGGGCCAGCAGGGCACTTCCCTGTTTTCCTGTAGGATATGGGCTGGGACATGAATTGGCTCCAGCAGGGCCCAAGATCACTTGGAAGGGGACCTTCACCCACACTCCCAAAAAGCTGAGAAGGAAGAATGCCTGCCTGCAGCTGGCTGCAGCTCCTGGAGCTCTGGGGTTTCTGGCACACTCAGGGACATGGGATAATGCCAGAATCATTCAAACCTTGGGAATAATGGAATTAATACCACCCCTTGAGCTCCTGCCCATTGGCCACTGGCTGCAGATGGCTGTGGAAGTGATGGAGGCATTCAGGGAATGCTGATTGTTTTTCCCTCCCTTTGGCAATCTGGTCAGCAAAAATACTAATTGAGCTCTTCCAGCAGGGAAACATTTAAGCAAGAGGTGTTGAAAAGAATTGGAGTTTCTGATTTTAAGTCTCCAACCTTAAGTCCTCTTTGGATTGTCACTGGTCCAATTTTCATGGACTGGTCACCATGGCCAGGAGTGTCCAATCCTGCTGGAAATGCACTGGACCAGGATGTCATTTTCATTTGATGCTGGTAAAGACCCTCTGGGTGACCCCCAGTCACTGGAAAGACTGGATTGGGCTCCCATGGCACCAATTCCAGGGGTTCTATTTTTGGGAATAGCACAGGAGCCGTTCCCTTGCCCAGAGGAGCAGCAAGTGCTTCAAATCCCCAGGATGGACCACAGAGAAAATAGCAGGAATATGGAAATCCCCCACACTGGGAGTTTGTGGTGGTCTGAATGACTTTTTGGATTTATAATGTTAAAGGGAGGCTGTGGAATGGCTTATCTCCTTTTTATTTTTATTGTTCTCACTGCTCTTGTTGCT